CATGCAGCTTTTCAACAGTGATTGACTGGAAAAATTAGCAATATATTTTCCAGCTTGAAATCTGGAATAATTTGAATTGTTGAGGGGGATGACATGAAATAAAACAAGTCTTCAGTCTCACTGACCACAGTAACAGAGGAACTTGTGGTCTCCACAAAATGAGCAAAGAAGAAATAATGCCTGATTCCCTGCAAAGATAAATGAGAAAGGGCTGAGAGTAGTGCCTAATGGCGTGGCAGTCGAGAGAGAGAGAAATTCAAGAAAGGTGACCATTATCTCTGTGTGTATTTCTAAGGATAAAGCCACATAGAGGTTTTGCACTGTGTAAGCTTGCAAAGTAGGATTAATGGGACTTACACAATGCCTAAGCCTTGATCTCTGAATAGTGGAAAATGTAATCAAGGAGATTCCAAGGAGGACATTGGAAAATTAAATTAACAAGATGGGGTTTTTTTTGTATGCTGATTTTGGGGGGCTCTCCCCTCTCCCCCCAAACCAGCATATGTGAACAAAGAATGCAGCAACATAGAATTAATGACCAGATTTAAAGCTAGATTGATAATTGCTGACAAATTTCACATCTGCCACTCATTGGACAATTATGAATACAAGAAAATGAAGTGGTTTGAGGGGTTCACCAATGTCCTAAACTTTCTGCTTTCACTTGGTGATAAGTCTGACTCAAAATCAGCTCAGATAGCACGGGGAAGCGTACATGCACTCCTCAGAGAAGGCATACACAATCTAGATAGTGAAGGTGATAAATAAAGAAGTGAGAAAATGTACTAAATGACATACTGTGAACTCAGTGAATGGAAGGCAGGAGTTAGCTGGGTCATGGATTTTGCATGGACATTTTAAGAAATGCAGAAGGAAAATGTCATTTGGAGGCCAGTGGAAAGAAAAAAGAGTTGTGAAAGAGAAGTGATGGTTTGATGAACTGTTGATAATTCACTGAGCAAACACAACAGCCAGTGGGCTCCTGAAAGATTCCTTTTGATGGATGAATATGGAGAAGATGCCATGTTATCACAATGTGCTAAATGGTACTACAGGGAATAGTTGTATAAGCACTACACCTGTGTAAATTAGTGGTGGGGGTATAAGCAGACCTTGCTAACAATTTTTCAGACCCTCTACTGATGCCTATCTACGTAATATTTGATCACCTTCTGTATACAGATATATCAAGGGTAGTCAAACTTCCTAGCAGGTTTTGTGGACTTCCTGTTTCTTCTTAGAAAACTGTGCTTTGAATAATATACCTTGGTTTAGGTACTAGGGGTCATATGGAAGTTTAATGGCAAGAGGAAATGGTTGATGTAATTCAGCTGTAGATGAAATCCTACACAGGCAATAACTATCAAGTTCTGGAACAACTAATCATCAGGTAATTTCTTGAATGTGACTCAGTCTGTCAAATGATAGGACTTAGGGAGATGAAAGATGGTATGTTTCCCCAGAGAGATACCAATCACAAACTAATCACAGTATCCTGGGAAGCATCTAACCAAGCAGAAATTAAATCTTTGCTGGACCTCCCAATTACACAGTTCTAGTCCAGATGTTCGTGTTGTTGAAATATCTTTATTTGTGAAGGAAAATAAAGACACAAACCACCACCATCATGGGATGTGTACTACCTGTGACAGCTGCTGGCAGGAGAAACGTTCTGTCTAGGACATGGGTCCCGCTGTCTTAGGAGGAAAGTGGGGCAGCAGAAAGTTAGCTTTGTCTTACTAGAAATCTTTCCAAGTGTGCGCAATGCTCACCTCACCAGACAATCTTAGAGTAAAGTTTTCAGGAGCCTTCCGGTAGCTGGGTGAAAAGCTGCCCTTTGCTGTCTGGCAGGATGAATCCTCTGCGGGCAGTGGAAGAGGAGTGGGCTGATGAGAGAGCAGGAACAGGAGGCATTTATGGGAGGACTGGAGAAGAAAAGACAGCATGCACTGGCAAACTTGGATCATCACTAAACCCATTGACATCTGTCTTGTTAAATAAACATGGAGCCATTGGTAGAGGTGTAGATGAACTGCCCATGTGTTTTTTGGAAACTCATTTGGCTTCTCACCTGAATCAGAGCTTCAGAGTGTACCTTAGTTCTTGCTGCTTTTTAATGGAAGGAACTGTCTAGGTATGGTGGAATCCTTCAGGTTTTAGAGATCACTGTTAGGATAGGAATAATCCAGGTGAATTGATTTTGATGATTTCAAGAAGAAATGTCCCTTTTGAACGTAGTCAGTGAGAGCAGCAGTCCATAAGAAGATATGCCTGGGCTTGTGCTCAGATTACTCAGGTTAACAGGTTTTCAATTTAGTTTCAATTTAGTTTTCAATTGGGCATTTACTGCTTGTTGGTTTTTCTCTTTTCTTAAACATAGTTTGGTCACTCTGTATGGGCAGGTCCCTGATACCTGGGGGCTTTATAACCTTGCTGACAAAGCCACAGCAAAATCCAGTAGTTGGAAATGTTTATTTAGGGGTATTCAATGAATGAGTTGTAATTTTCTTAGCTGCATGATGGCCCAGTGTTGTGTTGGCATATGAAGGTGTGGAGGTGGGGAAGTCAGCACTGCTTGAAATTTCTGGGACCCACACAAGCACCTTGAAATGTGCACTGTGCTGCCACTTTCTAGCCTTTGAGAAACAGTCTTTGAGTGTATGACAGGGCAAGGGCTCTCTGGGCAGAGCGATCTCTCACAGCCCTGGAATTTGTAACTTTTTCTTTCTTTCAAGGTTTGATGGAGGAGGGTTGATTTTCTTGCAGAAAGCAAGTGTTTCCGATACTGCATCACTACATTATGATAATTGCCAAGGCTTCAGAGGGCTGTTGATGGAATCAAGAAATAAGATCCTGACTTTTACACTAGGCTGGACGTGTTCTTTTGATGGTTTTGCTATGTACGTTATTTTCTAAGTTTCTCTGAAGAATCAGAGGTTTGTTGATAAGGAGACTGGATTCAGTGGGCTATGATTCATGATAGTATTCACACTATGAAAGTACAGAAACTTTTTTTTAAGATGCCTGGGTGATCTTATTCACATGTTAAGAGTATTTTGGCTTCAGGAGAGTGTTTTCTTCTAAAACAGAATGCCAGTGATACTGGCGTCTTTCGCCTTTCCTGTGAACAGCCATAGCCTGCATGTTGGAAACATGAGGATGTGTTAAGTTATCAGTCCATTGCCATTGTGTGGTCCTCAGGCATTGCTATACTTCATCTTTTCCTGTCACATGTAGTTGAAATGTGTGGGGCAAGGGAAAGGGCTTAATATACGAGTATTTCAGTTTAGTGTCATGGCCTGTAATATATAGGAGGTGATATATATGACTGGATGAATGCCTTGTCCTGTCTGCATTCAAGATCTGCTAGTCCCCAGTAAAGATTTATATAGATTTTTTTTTTCCACATACTTCCTTCCAGAAGAGCTTGTTTCCTGAGAGAGGAGAGAGGCATGTATTGAGCTTTTTTGACTCTTTGTGACCTTTCTTTGTGGATGTTGTACAAACTTTCTCCTTCTGTTAGCCCCAGGACTCTCCCCTGGACTCTCTCTTGTGGCTCTTTTCTGTACTTCTTATATTAAATCTGACTGCAAACTCTGCCATTCGTGGGATTTGGGGTGTTGCAACGTGCTGTGATATTACTTCTTGAAAGTGCTGTGCAGGCGTATATCACACAAGATACTTTATATTTTATAAGATATAACTCATATTTTGGAATTTGAAAAAAACCTTTTTGACACTATGCCCATCGCATCAGTTCCAAGAGCTGACTTTTTACATGCTGACAAAGTAATAACAAGTTTGTAAAATCAAGGAGCTGCGAAAAGTAAAGGAGAATTGAAAGTAACAGCAGTAATGATAATTAATATAGGTCATGCAATAAAACCTCTTGTACTTTTACATGTTTTAAAATTGTCTACAAACTGTAGTCTGTTTAAACAGAATAGATAAATCTCTCTGTGACTGAATCGTAGTATAATTGATTTACAGCTCCAAATCAATGATTAGCAAATTAGGCCTCTAACATGTAATCTGGAACTTGGAAGTGGTAACCTACTCCTGTTATTTCATGGTTATGCTTACTTGATGAACCTTGACTGTGTCCTAAGCGACAGAGACAGACATCTGCTTTTCTATGCCTAGCAGTTACATACTTAGCCTTTATACTTTGCATAAGGTAATTGCAGTAATGGACCCATTCAAAAAAAAAAGGAAGACAGTTTGCTGTGAAGGTGTTTTCTGTAACCCTTAAATACCGAATAAGAACTTTAATGAGCAATCCAGTATGAGCTGTGTCAGCACGCTGCTGTAAAACCCAGTACGGTACTGCTGGGGCACAGGAGTGGCAGCGGGCCAAGTCGTGGCATAGCAAACACCAAGCCTGGAGGGATCATTCTGTCACTTGATCCTACTTCTGTTGGGGGGGAAAAAAAAAGACAGTCACTGAAGGTCAGTTCCTGTACAATAAAATTCATATATTGGAGTAGCAAGATACAAGTACATAAATAAGTGGGGGGGGTGATGAAACATCAAAGGGCTCTGATAACAAATATGTGACTTCAGTGATCACCCTCCACCATGCAACATCCCTCTTCAAGGAACTGATTCTCTGCTAACGCCACTCGCGCTGCTCTCACAGCTCCCTTTTCCTTCTCACCCCCAAGCCGAGTTGCAGGCAGTCGTAGTTTCCTTGGCACCACCTGAGACACGTCTCTTCTGCCCTCTCAGTAGATGTCCATATCACTGCTTCAACATCCTTCACCTTCTACTTACGTGTGCTTTTCTGGTTCTGTCATTTTTTTTTTCTCCTCCAATTTTTTTTTTTCTTGTGGTATCCAGACTCCTGCAGGTTGGTTTGAATATTCTTGCAGCTGATTCAATCTTTTCAGTTTTAAATGCAGTTATCTTTAAGAAAATGTATCAGTTCTATAAGCAGAGTACTAACACTTTTTGAAAAAAATCATTGTGTGCCTTTTTTTTTTTTTTATTTTCTCCTGAAGCGGTGTGTGTATTTGAAGGCAGAACCTACTTTGAAGGACAAAGAGAAACTGTGTATTCAAGCTCAGGGGACTGTGTTCTGTTTGAGTGCAAGGTAAGAATTCTGTTGACGGAAAAAAAAAATTCTTGCATGTTAGAAATATCAAAGTCCCCCTGAAAGAAACTGTTGAAATACAGACAGGTCTGTCTTAGGAAGTGGCAACAAAAAAGGCATCTAAGGGGTCCTGTGTTTATTTTGCCTTACCGAGTTCTGCATCAAATCTTGCAAATAAATTTACTTTGGGTAGCTGTAAGCTTTGATTACGCAGCTTGACAATCAGGCTGCATTCTTTCCTCCTTAGGTATCATTTCCATCAGCAGTAATAAAATACCAGCAGACTACCTTATGTTTCCATTGATACACGCGCAATGTTATTGTTCAAAATTATGTGCTCAGGTATGAGAGATGCACGAATGTGATGGGGGCGTAATTTGGAATTCAGGATCATTCTCAGAAGACAAGTGAGATGAAAAAGAAGGAAAAGAGCTGGCACACCAGGTGTCTGGTGTTTCTAGTGATGGAAATGGGGTAGGGTGGTTGTTTTATTTGTAAACAGAACACTCCTGATGCTGAGTCAGTCTTGTCCCGCTGCATGAACGGAGTTGCTCTTCAGGGCACAAATGTATTTTCAGAGCAAAATGTACCCCAGGGACAGCTGCAGGTTGAGAATTGCACAAACTGCTGCAGTGGGCCCCGCATCGCCTCTCCAGGGGAGGGATGGGGAGGAATTCCCTCCAGTTACAGAGCCCCATGCTGTGGCGTGGAGCTGAAAACCTGAGCGCACATTTCTAGGGCAGAGAAAGAGAGGGGAGCAGCATCTGTGGCCACGGTGCAGCTATCTATCGGACCAATTTCTGGAAATTGCAAAATATTTTCATACTGTTGTGAAAAAGTATGTTTTGCAAAGTAGAACCATTGTCTTGCTGCTCTTGATTTTAATCTCTGTGAGCTTAATTCCTGGAGTAGGTGCTTTGAAACCCTTATGAGAAAGGAAAGGAGAAGCTGGCCAGAAATAATTTTGGATTCAGGCGTATGCTTTTCAGGGCTGTGAGCTCGTGTTTTCAGCATGACACCTGGGACATGAATTCTGTGATTAGTCAATGGATGTCATTAATGGCCATCGAAAGTTATGTTATGTCGCCTCGTGTTTCTTGCAGCTGGAAGTGCGATGTATGAACAAAATGCCTCTGTTGGCTGTGCTAGTCTGTATTTTGTTGATGATACTTGTTTGCTGGTGGGGTGCCTGACTGTCCTGGAGGAAATATTAAGCAGCAATTTTGGTTGATTCAAATGCTGCTTTTTGAAGTACCGAAGTACATACAACTTTCTGATGAACAGCCTTGTGAACGATAATTCAGAATAGAAAATCCACATACTGTGAACCGTGTTGGTCAGCTAGGAAGTCATAGGTGGGCACTATTTTATTACTACCAGAGTTCTCCTAAAAGGATATAATTAATGACTCCAGCTCAGGAGAGACTTAATAGGAATGGCACAAGTACTGATTTCATGCTTGAAGGCTTAGAATGATGTTATCAGGGCAATGTAGGGAATTTCTTCTTTTTGCCTGCATGTAATTCTAAACATTTTTTTGTTTTGTTTGGCTGCTGCAGTTGTGCTTGCTATAGGCACTCACTTTTGTGTTTGACTATTATAAAACAAATGAATGAAAAATTTTCTTCCAAATTAGAATTTGTAAAAGAATTAAATGCAATCCAGACTACTCTGATATTATTTTTATAAAAGGGTTTTTTTTCTTCATTTTGTGGGATTGCTGGGCTTTGCTTGTTGTGGCATACAACACATCTGTGGCTGGTTTGCTTTACTATATTATCAGGTTAAGGTTGGTTTCTCTGTCAAGATTGTTTAAGGTAAAGTTTGAGCAGTAATTTCGACACTGGCCATTGTGTTCGTGCTTCATCTTTATATGTCATGCTTAAAGAGGATTTAAAATTAAATGCTAGACCCATAATAATAACACATGCAATGGCACATGCATGATTTTAGCACTTTTCTTGCATGCAGAAATACAGGGTCTTGGGTTCAGTGAGCTCATATTTTAACTGTATTGCTGATTTTAAGGCAGATGCCTCTGAGGAACATGTGGTTGCCTTGTTTTCTGTCTTTGCCGTATCATGACTAGAGCACTGCAAGACACATTAATTAGGGCCTGAGGGAGCCTAAAGGTGGCACATCTGTGGTAGCCGGATTGCTAAGGCAGGCATTTCATGTGGTTCACACTGCAGTGATTGCGTGTGACCTGCACCAAATGCCTGAAGACATTCAGATACCATCTTGGCATTGGACATTTCCAGATGCTTGATCCAAACTCGGCTGAGAAAACCTCTCTTTCCTAATAGGGAATCAGTGCCAGTTTCCTTCAGCGTTACTACCACAGCACTGAGATCAGAGATGCTCAAGTTTGATTTTACTTGCTGCATAAATAACAAGCTGCTTTCGAGTATTCTTTATGAGGACCCTTGATTCTGGAATCTGCTGCCTCAGTTTCTGAGAAATAATTGTTACTCTTGCAGGCATAATTTTAAGAGAAAGTTCTGAGGCAAGTTGCTTGACAGCTGAGACATGAGAAGAATGAGAGCTGTTGCCACACTTTTGCTCGCTTGAAAAGGTTTGAGTGTAGGGGAATTCCTGACGCTTTTATTGTGCTACGCTGTCCTTACAAATGGTTTTCAAAGGTACCTGGAGTTTGGCATAGGCAGGTTTTTGTTTGTGCATTATAGTGGTAAAACTCCACTAAAGTTAAAATTTATCTTTATTTCTTCTCTCACAATATTAATCAATTACCTCAATTTAACAGGACCACAAAATGCAGCGTATTCCAAAAGACAGTTGTACAGCTTTGAACTGCCCAGAATCTCAACAGATCCCCTTATCTCACAGTTGCTGCAAAATCTGTAAAGGTAAGGTAATAGCTGGATATATATATAAGCTCCGTGTAATTTTCCATTTTTATTGGTTATAGAGACTTTTTTCTTAATAGTTTTGAATCGGCCACTCCGACGCATGATAATCGCTGTACATCTTGGGAAACTGAATAGATAACATCTGCATCGTGACATCTGAAAATTGTTTGTAAAACATCTAATAGTGTAAATTCTGTCAAACATTTTCTGGCACATGTGTTTTTCATTCTAGCAAAAAGAGGGTGAAAAGTCAAAGAAATCATACACCTATACAGTGATTTTCTACCCTTCACCCACTCCTGTGCCCAAACAAAATGAGATGGGAGAAATGCCTGTGTTCCCCAGCATCTTTCTGGGGTGCTTTGAGATGTCTCTTTTAGGGAACTGTTTGTGCTGTGCAGTTGTTCGAAGACTGGAGTAACTTGTTTACCTGTTTGGGGTTGTAGTCTGCATCTAGAAGCAGAAGCTTTGGGGAATGTTTTTGTATGCTATGTACCTTTGTGTGTTGCACTCAGACTGATCCTTACCAAAGGGGAGAGGTGCTTGAACTGCTCCATGTCTTGACCCCACTTTTTTGATCTGGACTAATATCGGTATCTTCAAAGCTGTGAGCAATTGCATCTTCAAGTGGCTACGTCTGCTTCTTTTATAGCTAAATAATGATAAATCGATACCGGGCATGAAAGAAGATGGTAGACTCTTGGGCTGATTTTAGGTATACTTCAGTGAAGAGTGCAGCTGTGCTTGTTTCTGTGCTACTCAGCGCAAACACGAAGGATGTGATTAATGACATCAAGCAGAGAGATAAGAAAGTAGAAGAAAAGAACTTGAAAAGTTGATAGGTCTTGAAGTCTATCACAGTCAAAAAGAATTTTTTAATGATAATTTTCTATAAAATCTTCAGTGGCTTGGAGAAAAGAATTCTGTGTTTCTTGTGCCTGGTATAGCTAGAAAATTTTAATATGTCAGATGACTGCTTTCTGAACATATTCAATTCTACCTGAACCATCCTAGCTTGGCCTTTCATGAGCTTATTCTTTAAACAAGAAGTTGCTGTATGCTATTATTCAGCAGCATGTATTTTATTTATTGAGACAGCTGATAGGTAAGTGTTAAGAATCTTAAGAAAAAACAAAAAAATCGGTATAAAAGCCATCACCCTTTCTGGATAACACGTACATTCTTAGTTATTTAATGCCAAAGTCTGATACTGCCAATCCAGGTCAGGACATCCAAACCCAAGACTATTGCTTTGTCTTTAACTCAGGCTTCAATGAGGAAGACAACAAAAAGGCAAAGAGTAGATGTCGCCATGGCCAGAGGTTGCTCTTTAACAGACACAGTTTTGCTGTCATTGATGGGTATTGAAGTCCCTCTATACGCTAGTAATAGCATAGAGCTTTTTGCTTCTTAATGTCCTGTGTAAGATAACAGCACTGTGGTAGCTATGGTGAATGATACTATTTAAGTAATATTTCCTAAACATACCTCTAGGTTACAGGGAGACAATCCACAGCAGGAAAGAAAGAGAGAAAGAAAAACAGCTGCCTCTCATATCGTAGTAGGACCGTGATGTTTGCATCATGACCATGTCACTGGGTCTCGGTACTAAAACATGCTGCCTTTATGGGCTCTTCTCTTTCTCTTGTCTCGTTTTACTTGGTTTGTGTTGCTTCACGCTGTTCATGAGCTGCGCAGGTGCAAAACACCTCTCTGACCTGACCTCCGAGCCATTGGCCTGCTTGAAGTGCACATTTAATTTTGCTTCTCTGAAGTTAGGGGTAGAAGCCCTTTCACAGCAAACTATGAAGCAGAAGCTGGGTGGAGATAAAAATAATATTCTTTACTGCCAACAAATACTTGTTTGTTATTTTGTTAGAGGCCTACGTTGCAGCCTGATTCCAGCTTGTGTTCTGATGCTGTTGCTGTTACACCAGTCCTGATTCCTGGAGCGTGACCCGCGTTCTCCAGTTCTTCCGTGGGAGGTTTTGAGACAAGAAAATAGTTACTGGAAAAAAAAACCAGTGAAGTACTGCTGCTTGATCGATTCTAATGCTTCAGTTAAAGAAGAAAATTAAACAAATGAGATTATTGAGAAAGCAATGAAGGAGATAAGCTCCGCACCTTTATAGACAGATTTGGAAATTGTGGAAAGTTCAAGTCAGTTACTACAGCCAGCTTGAATTCAGCACGATAAAGGATGATTTAATGGTGTTCAACAACATAGCAGCATTAGATTTCATGAGAGCAAGCAGAAGGAATTTAAAAAAAGCCTACTGTGTTGAAAGGTCCAATCTAAATTTTCCAGGCTGGAAAAGAACTTCAGAACCTGAAAATTTTGTAATTAAGGTGCAATGGAAAACAAGTCACACTCGGGAAAAATGGAAGGGAAACAATAGGAAAATAGGAAATAGGGATGGCTAGAAGGTGAGAATTTTAAAATAAATTTGTCTGAAATGGAAAGGATGATGCAATCAGAGAAGAGTATTCAGTCAGTGGAGCTTGAAAGGAAGAGGTAAGGGGAAGAGAAAAGCAAAATAAGTCAATGTTAATCAAAGACTTTCAGTTAAATGTGGAAGGATTTTATAAATACACCTGGAAATAAAAAGTGCTAGGAAAAAAGTAATACCACTAGTAAATGAGCTACTGAGTGTCTAAGCTGTTGAGCTCCTTTATAAATGTCCAAACAAACAAAAAAAAAAAGAAAATGAAGAAAAATATATAATTAAGAAGTGTCCTGTAAAAGTACTTAACAATGACAAGGGGACAGTAAGGGGATTTAAGCAAGCCTCCTATCCAGCTGCCTTAGATCAATGCCATAACCTGAAATTGAATTGAAGACCTAGAGACAGTCTGTTCTTGTGGCCTTTACTACTCCTTTCATCTGTTTCATGCTTGGTACAATTCATTTTTCTATATCTCATGGACAATAGAAAGGTATTCTTTGACCTAACTGAAAAAAAGATAGGACTGTCTTTGACAGGGATGTTTTATAATCCCTGGATTCTTTTTAACCCTCAATCATATTTGTTTCTGTACAGGCCATGACTTTTGCACTGAAGGACATAACTGTATGGAGCATTCTGTCTGCCGAAACCTAGATGACAGAGCTGTCTGTAGCTGCCGAGATGGCTTCCGAGCCCTTCGGGAGGACAATGCCTACTGTGAAGGTAACACTTTGTAAGGATATGTAGCTCTGCTGTATAAATTACTGTGGGAAGAATGTATTGATTTATGAGTTGTCAAAGGGATAGGCCTATTAAATGCAATGAATAAGATATGCAGCATATTAATCAACCAAAATAATTATCTCTCCAACTAAGTTATTAAAAAAAAAATGCTGATCAGTGTCAAAGTTGCAAGTTAGCATGGTCGAGGTCTTGGATTAGAAACATGATTCCATAGGAAAGTTTTCCTTTTTTTTTTTTCCTCATGGTATTTAGATATTCAGGCAACCTGAAAGTCAACCATTTGAATAGCATATTAGTAAAACATTTAGTTTCTCTTTTCACTGCTGCCTGTTCCCATTCTCTCTCCCCAGGAAGTAAGTAAATGCTATAGACTAGATCCTGTATTAATCATACTGAGTAATGATTTGTTATCTGAGCTGCTCTTTTGGTATCAGGGAGCAACAAGCTACTTAATCAGAAGAGAAGTCTCTCTAATTTGTGTCTTTAGTGTAATCCTGTGAAAAAAACCTCCCCACTCCAGCAGCGAGAGCCAAAGTCCTCTGCACAGCCTCTTAGCTTCTGTGCTAATGGTTGCTCTTCCTCATGGAACCCTGATTCCACAAACACGTAATGCTAGTGTGCTAGCAGGCCATTCTTACCATAAAAAAGCTTTAGTGTTGGCAGCAGGATGGCCTGTGACTAATAAGCAGTTTGGTTCGGATTTAGCCTGCTAAATTGAAAGTTAAGCATCTGCGAGTAGAGTCTAAGGTACTCTGCAGTCCCACCTAATACCTGGATTGTTCTCTGGTGATGCACAATTAAATGGGATGAATGAAGGCCTTTTAAGACTGGTCCTTTGGCTGAACTCTGCAAAAGTTAATGCTTGCAGCTTACTTGAGTTAGTAGCTGCATTAACATCAGTGGGAATGCTCATCTGTAGACTTAGATTTGAGAATTCATGACTGTTTTCAGGAAAGGAGCATATAATTAATTCAGCGTTGTATACCTCTTTGCTTAACATTTATAGTAAGCCTTCTGACGGAAGCCTGTTTTGAGAAGTAGACCTAAAAATCAGGCAGAAACAAATCCCTTGCTCCTCATCGTGTCCCAGCAGGCACCTGCCATCAGGACCTGCTGTATAGCTTGATCTGTGTTGCAGCATCAGCCACTTTTTATCCCACAGTCCCTGGAGACTATGCCAAGGCTTAGGCTGTGGATCTGCATTTCTGGGAACGCATCAGCCATTTTCTTTTCGAGGGGGTCACTGCAGCAATGGAGTCCTGGTGAAATCAGGTGCTTTAAGCAAGTTTTTTTTTCTGTGGATCTCTTGTTACTCTGCTGAATGAAGGCAGAAAAACAAGTTATGCTCTCTTAGTGATCTCCACATCACTCAAATTAGAGTCTGTTGCTGTGTGTGGAACTTGCCAGGCATGTCATAAGCAAAAAACAAAAGAAGCTTTTTGATCAGCGTTGGTGGTGAAATGTTTAGATGAGCATACAGCAGATTATCATATGTGAGACTGATGCATTTGTATTATAAGTGGATTTACCAGCTTGTGCAGTACCTGAATTCAGTACGATGATTTTTGAGAAGATTTGTTGGCCTGATTGCTTCTGTATGGGCAAATGATGTTGTTTCTGGGTGGTAATTATCAATCTGCTTAAGTGCTTTCAAAAAACTTGCGTAAGTGAATAAAAGGTTGGGACACATTATCTACATGAAAATAATAATTGTATTACTATGTTTGGATGCATTAAATTCTCTCTTAAAAATGTGTATGATTTAGGGCCTGCTCCAGGAACACTTGCTCACATCGAAGGTAGCGGGAGTAAGTCTCATTAGGAAGATGTGCCCACGTGAGCAAAGCTCCTGAGATTGGGTCCCTGCCAGAAGAGGTTCTCCCAGCCAAGGGCGAAGCTAACTCAGCAGGCAAAACAGCCTGGCTTGGCTGCTACCTATGTACTGTGGCTGCGGTGTAGGCACCACGCTTGAATTATGCGCACTTGGTACCCGCGTCCAGAACTGGCCTTGGCTGGCCATCCCTGGCTGCGTGTGTGGGTCATATGCTGGAAAGAGGGGACATAAGGTTACAGACTGAAACTCCAGGATTATTTTTGTGGAAGAGGAGGGACAGGGGACTGAAATACCCACGTTTCTTCAGAGTTGTGCTTTTAGTATTGTATCCCTTTTTCCAGCCTAAATGTCTCTTTGAGCGCGGAGTTTTTTATTTCTGGAAAGAGACTCTTACCTTAATATTAAGCATCATAATAGCAAAGGCCACAACAGCAGTAGTGTAACATCGAGTCTTTTCAGAGTCCTGTCCCTCATCCTGAAAGGCTGAAATGATCCCAACCTCCCTTTCTCAGCACATACCCTTTCTTCACTGTGCCATTATTGTGGCTTTAATTACAAGCAATGCCAAGTGTAGAAATGTCGAGGTAACACAAAGCCTTTCAGAGAAGGCTTTTTGTAATGGCTGGAGCCCATGGGTATGATAGCTGTTTCTATGTTGGCACTTTGCAAACTTCAGATATACAGCAAGATTGGATGTCATTGATTCTGTGTTAGAGCCAAACTTCACTAAATACAATCCTGATCTGTGCCTCAGCACTGTCAAAATTCAAAGAATAAATGGAACTGATGATGCTCCCATTGGCCGAACTTCTCCTTAAGGTAGAAGAACAAAAATAAAAATATTTAAAGCTGGTTTCAGTGTGGGTCTGGAAAAGCTGCATAAATTTTGTTTGAATGATGGAAGAGTTTGGCATCTGTCCTAGAAAGAACTGGTGCTTTTCCAAAGCCATGTGATGTCTCTAGATACTGTTACAATGGATAACTTTCTGTTTTATATAATAATATTTGTTAATATTTATGCCACATTTACCTTTCCCTTGGAGGACTGTTTAAAGCAATGCTTAAAGAGTTGAGATTTCTTCATTACGCACTTCAAGCCTTATTCCAAGTACTCTGAAATCTATTTTCTGTCTCAGGTTATTATGCAGTTTGAGATACCTTGTGGGCAGATTGGGTATGGATTATGCTGTGCTGCCCAGGTGTAGCTGCCTTTGAATATAGCATCCTTGGTGTATAGCCTACCTAACATCAAAGTTTTACAAAAACAGATGTTCTGATGAAGCGTAATTAGTTTTTCCCAAAGCAGCACCTGCAGTGCTCTCAAACTGATGATCGCCTTCTGGGATATATTTTAAATAGAGTTCAATGCCCACTACATTTGTGGTGGTGGAGTTACACTGAAAAGGTTTTTAAGGATAAAGTTTGTGACTCTTGGCTGTCAAGATATTCTGATGCATCTAGAGGAGTGAAATATAACCATAAGGTGGGTTTGCAAATAGTCTGCTGGTGGCAGCTTTAGGTGTTCTCAGATCCTTGAACCTAAGCTGTTTTCATGCACTGTGTCATGCGCTTTTGGCAGTCCTCAAAAGATGTGTTTGGGGAGGAGGTGTTTACTTGTACCCTTTAGAGACTGCACTTGGAAGGATTGCTTGAAGTCCGATTTTCTGATTTAATAATAGCACTCAACTATCTCTGTGCAAAATCTGATTTCACTTCAGAAGTGTTGCCAAGGATTGCTGATTAAATAGAGAGGAGAGTAGGCTCAAGAAAGAAGACAGAAGAATGCAGTAATCTTTTGTAAGCACCAGGACTGAACATGATCTGAGAAAAACAGGTTATTTGTTTCTCTGCCAAGAGGATTTTGCCTGATGCAGGGGCTGTACTGCCATGTACTGATTTTGGCTGGGATGGAATTAATTTTCTTTGTAGCAGCCTGTATGGTGCTGTGTTTTCGATTTGTGACCGGAAGAGTGTTGATAACAGAGTGATGTTTTAGCTGTAGCTGAACAGTGCTTGCACAAGTGTCAAGGCCATCTCTGTTTCTCACTTCCCCCGCAGCCAGTAGGCTGGGGATGGGCAAGAGATTGGGAAGGGACACAGCCGGGACAGCTGAGCCCAACTGACCAAAGGGATATCCCAGACCATATGATGTCATGCTCAACAGTAAAAATGGGAATACTCTTTCTAAGGTGGCTGTTGCTCAAAGACTGACTGGGCATCAGTCTGCTGGTGGGAGCTGGAGAACAATTACCTTTGAATTGCTTCTCCCCCTCCCCTTTATCTCAACCCATGAGTTTTTTCACACTTTTTTTCTTTTGTTTCTCTCCCCCATCCCACTGGAGAGGGAGGGCGAGTGAGCGGCTGGTGGGTGCTGAATTGATGGCCAGGGTCAACCCTCCACACATCACCAGTTTACCTTATGGGTATATGGACCATAATGTTTATTTTCTGATATTTGGGAATTTAGTTGTACTAGTTGCGCAGTACATGACCTAGCTAACTTATCTTAACAATTTGGAATAATTAATATTATTAAACAAATTTTTGTGAAATAATTTTCCATTTTTATTCTAATTTATCCTTTTTCCTCAGTAACTCCCCTAGTTTCTCTGTTGCCATGTTTGTCCTGATTTCAAGTGCGGCAGCTGAAGTGAGGCCAAAGGCTGAGTGACTTTGTCTACATTTGAGAATTGCATCAGCTTCACTGATGATTGTCCCTCGAAGGGAGAAGGTCTTCAGTTTCAAAATCTGCTTTTGAATAAGCTGGCTTGATTTGAGTCACCATCAGTGGAGGGTAGTAAGCAGTCTTAGAGGATGAATTGACTCTTTCCAGAGTAGATGGCTGAAGCACATCAGAAGTGCCACTTGGTTGACCTCCTCAGGTTTCCCTTAGCTCAGAGTTGTATGTTCTCATTCTGCTTGGAAAGATTTATGAATTTATCCCTGTGTTTGGGTAAAAATGCTAATGCACATTGCACTTCTTCACTTACCTAATTAGTACAACCTGCTGTTAATCCTACTGTTAATCTCGTTGGTTTTAACTACTGGATTACAAAAGTAAAGCACATTTTCGGAATAAGCCTGATTTCTACAGATTGCAGTGAAGAGAAGAAATCTTACAAAAGCTAGAAAGTAATAATTGAAT